CAAGAGTGATTTCAGCAAAAAGTAAAGAATTCACTGTCTTGCAGTATCGGGGACTTGAACTCACAAATGGCCTCCGGGTACTACTGGTATCGGATCCCACTACAGATAAATCTGCCGCTGCAATGGATGTTAATGTCGGTGGGCCACTATTACTTAACTTTCAATGGAATGCACTACTTTTTGATATTAAAGAAACTATTTCAAACTTTGAATATCTTGTAAAGGCATAAGTATTCTGTAGTAACTAATCCAGGAAGTCTCATGGATCCGTGGGAGTTGCCAAGGGCTGGCGCACTTCTGCGAGCACATGCTCTTTCTTGGTACTGATAAATATCCGAAGGAGAACGAATTCTTCAGTGTAAGTCATGTAAATAAGAGTGGACCAGGTAGAAATTATAGGCACTCATTTCCCCAAAATTTCAATCTCATCTTTTTCTCAGCTCAGGGGTTATTCAGTGCCCCGATCACGAAATAAAGCTTATCCGGCGTCGACGCCATTCGGCGCCAAGTGGTGGTGCTATTAGCATTTTCATTCCAATTCGAAACAAACTGGCATACCGGGTTTCTCGACGTTCAGATTACGAATTTAGCATTGTTTTTAGTGTTGAGGCATTTGATGTCAGAATGGTGCCTGTGAAACTTGGCCCTGATACTCTTTTTCTTCGAAATTGGAATAACTTGCATACTAAGGTAACTTGATGTAACATACATACATTTTTTAACGAGGGCGCCATACCGTTAGGTGTCAGTTCCGTACTGTTTTCCACCAAATAGATGTAAATGTGCCCCGCCAGATATTTCACCAATGCTGGAATGAGCTCACATACTGAGATAACTTGATATCATTACGCTTGTAGCTTTCAATTTAACCGCGGCCGCAACTGGCAGCCGATATGTGTTAGTCCGGCGCCACCACAGTGTTCCACCAAATGTATATAAAGCATCGTACCGAGTTTATTTGGATCCTTCTTACGAATACGCCACTCATTCCCTGCGCCGGCACTGAAGGAGATCACACTTTTGTCTACGCTTAGCTACGACAGTCCAATGGGAGGAGAATCACTTTCCCTTCCAGGTGCAGCCTTAACGGAGTGATGATTGGCGCAAAAAACCGGAAATGATTTCAGTGAGCTGGATCCTTAACTGGTTTCCAACGGATTTGTGTTGGGAATTAAGGGACCATACTGCTGCGGGGAAATTGTGCATGCTCACATCAGTTTTGAAGAAGAAGGTGATGCGGTGAAGATTACTTGCGCCAGCTCCATGCACGCGCCAAATCGGCGACGACGCTAAGCATGCATGCCAAATTTGCAGGATTAGCGGCGCCGAAAGCCGAATTGGCAGCTGCTCTTATTCGTGATCAGGCCCTGAATATCCCCACAAGTCAAATTTGACGAGAAAATTGCTTAAGATTCTGGAGTAATTTTATAGAAACCTTATCATTGCTCTAATTTTTGAACGTTTGAGTTTATTTCCGACAATGGTGGATTCCGCAACGCTGGCACATATCTCGACCACACAAATTACCATTTCAGTATAAAGCCGGACAAATTGAAGGTGGGCGATTAGCTCGACTTAATTGGATTTTTTCGTGTAGAAACCGGTCTCAAGCGGTTCTGTGACTGGAAACACAGCAAAAATAGAATTGAAACCGTTTCCGCCTTCTTCCGCTTGTCGCACATGATCCGCACTTTTTGTCCTTTTTCGCTCTGAAAATAGAGGCAGCATAGTGCTCAGAGGAGCCCAGGCCTCGGCCCAAAGAACCTAAGCGCGCTACAGAGTTCAGCCTCAAGGGCACCATAGTGTGGGTGCAATTCGTGCAAACAATGATAGAGAGTGTAAGTAGGCTTGGGGTGGTGGGCTTTTAAGCCGCCTCTTCCGAACAATGATCTCATCCCGAGTTTACAGTTAGCGGGAAAAACTGTTCTGCACTCCGATTCACGCCTCTTCACACGCCTTGTCATTTGCAAAAATCATTGCTGTACTTGAAATAAAGGCACATTTCGCGGTCAGAATTCGTGGATAGCGGGGTCCAAATATGACTGTGAAAGGGCTAATGCCGTTTGGACTCCAGCAATTTCGGCACCGAGCTCATTTTTAAATTGCCTAAGTCACCAAATCCGCTAAAAACTTGTATATAGGGGTAGTTTAACATCCTGATTACGAATATGACATTCACTCTTGTCGCTGGCGTCAATGGATGACAT